TTGAACTCACCTCCTGAATAAGAGACAATTTTATATTTGCACATTTGGAATAAGTATTAATTTTATTATATTTTATTTCTTATTTCTATTTTTTATATATTTAATTTTATCTGTAATTTATCCTATCACATGTGGCACAGCCCTTACCTGTCTTTTACATATATATAGAAAAAATATATATACCGGTTTAAATTTGTTCTAACTGTATTTTAATATTAATATACATATATATGTAAATCAAAATACATTTAGAATGACGTTATAAATACATATGTGTGTGTGTGTGTGTGTGTATATATGTTACAGTTAAAGTGAGAAATCCGTTAATGTGCACATCAGCTAGTTAATCTGCAGATTAACTGACTTGCTCAGTGCGGAATCAAGAGTTTTCAGCACTTTACCTAGGTAATGTGCACATGAACTGATTCCGTCTAGTTAAAGTGCAAAATGTTTGTTTCTTTTCCTCGGTAAAAAGAGGAATTCTTTATTACAAAAAAAGTCCTTGCAGAACCTGTTTTACCATTCAGTGCAAAAGTTTGTTTCTTTCCCTCGGTAAAAGAGGAAATTATTTATTTCAAAAACTTCCTCGCAGAACCTGTTTCACCCTTTCAGCGCAGTCTCTGCAGAGTCATTCACTTCTTGTCTGAAGGCAGAAAGATTCTGTGTGAACCTGTCTCGTTCTTTTTATGAGCAAGTTCCTTTCAATGCCCTCCACCATCAAATTCTCAAAGCATAGATGCATGGCTTGTTGCTTCTCAGAGGGGGCTGGCTACTAACAATGCTGCTCCATAAGTCCGAGAAATACTTCTCTCATTTAGGAGAATGAGACCAAGGAGAGGTCTGCTCATGGACCACTTATTCCGACAGTCTTCAAATATATGATGATATTGAGAACAGTGGAGAGGATCTGCTGGGATCATTTCAGGGTGTTGCTGCATAATGTGCAGGAAGCGCTTGCTTCTTGTGGTGGTGGGGGCTCCTCGTTTCTTACCAGTTCATGATAACTGTTTGAAGAGGTATGTGACTATGTGGTCCAGACAAGAACAGAATAGCAGCCTGTGCACACCATGGTGTCCACCAGAGCTGTGAGCTCCTCAGAGAGATGGAGGACATAATGATTTTTTTGCACTTTAACGAGTGCCTACTAGGTAATGTGCAGATTACCTAGGTAATGTGAGAAATATTTAAGAAACTAAATCATTTTCTGCACTTTAACTGATCACCCTAGTTAATCTGCAGATTAACTAGGTAATGTGCACATTAACTGATTTCTGCACTTTAACTGTAACATACATACATACATACATACATATATATATATATATATATATATATATATATATATATATATATATATATATATATATACACCAAATAAGTTGTGGTGGGGAAAAAGTGAAGATGAAAACCCCTTCCGCCTGAAATAAATTGATAGTTAATTCAATGTTAAACACAAATACACACACCAGGCAAGACTTACTTTTACAACCTAAATCTCACTTTAATAGTGCTCTCACAAGTGCAAGGGATTCTGGGTAGACGTATGTATGTATGTAAGTATGTATGTATATATATGTATATATATATATATATATATATATATATATATATATTTAAATTCTACAAATATATTTACATAATATTTTTACATAATTAAGTAATTTTTTTAATTACAATTTGAGGGACCTGCCTGACTACCCAGGCTGAAAGTCCAGAGAATATAATTTGCTAGCACTGTATTTAACCCTGTAACTTTCCGTGACACCCTAAAACCACTATATGGGGGTACTGTTTTACTTCGGAGACTTTGCGATACACAAATATTAGTGTTTCAAAACAGTAAAAAATATCACCATGATGGTATTGTCAGTGAAAGTGACATCTTTTGCAGTTTTTACACACAAACGGCACTTTCACTGATGATATCATTGTTGTGATATGTTCTACTGTTTTGAAACAATATAATATTTGGGTTCAGTGAAATCTCCCAAGTATAACAGTAACCCCCATGTACAGGTTTTATAGTGTTTTTGAAAGTTATAGGGACAAATATAAAAGACTTGGTTTTCTGTTTTTTTCACATTGAAATTTGTTGCCTTTGAGAGTGTATGGTAGCCCAGGAATGAGAATTACCCGCATAAAGGCATACCATTTGCAAAAGGAGACAACCCAAGGTATTGCAAATGGGGTATGTTCAGTCTTTTTTAGTAGCCACTTAATCACAAACACTGGCCAACGTTAGCATTCATAATAGTTTTCTGCATTTTTAACACAGAAACAAATATAAATTCTTACTTTGGCAAGTGTTTGTAACTAAGCGGCTATTAAAAAGACTGGACATACCCCAGGATGAATACCCTGGGTTGTCTACTTAAAAAAAATATGTAAAGGTGTGATTCAGAGATTTATGACAGATAACAATGTTACTATTGATAAATTTAAAAATATATATATTTTGAAACAGCAATGTCCTACTTGTACTTATAGCCCTATAACTTGCAAAAAAAAAAAAAAGCCAAGAAAAAGTTAACATTGGGTATTTCTAAACCCAGGACAAGATTTAGACACTATTTAGCATGGGTGTTTTTTGGCGGCTGTAGATGCATAGCAGATTTTTGGGGTCAAAGTTAGAAAAGGTGTGGGGGTTTTTTTCATCATATTTTATAATTTATTTTAGAGTAAATCATATGATATGACGAAAAATAATGGTATCTTCTTTAGACCATTTAATGGCGAGAAAAACGGTATATAATATGTGTGGGTACAGTAAATGAGTAAGAGGAAAAGTACATCTAAACACAAAAACCATAGATATGTAAAAACAGCACTGGTCCTTAATGGTAAGAAAATTGAAAAACGGACTGGTTAGTAAAGGGTTAAAGGGAACCTATAGTTATGAAAATAACAATTCTTATTTTGCAACTATAGGTTCCCTTCTGTACCCCTCTTTCCCCCGCCCACCCCCCCCCCTGTAAAAAAAGATGTTGAATAAAGTTTACTGACCTCATTTATCCTCTGCTGCAGCCACCCAATCAAATTTCAGTGCTGTCATCATACCTGTTGAATTCTTCGTAATCTCCTGCAGTCAACTGCTTCTCATGAGCCAATGGATTGGAGGTACACACGTGCAGCCAAATGCTGTGTTCCTCCCATCAAATATTGCTATCAGCAGCATTTATTTCCCAGACCGAGTTTTACATTTCAGGTTTAAAATGACAGGACCACTGCACTGCATTGAGATAAAGTAGTCTGTGAAACTATAGTGTTCATTTAAACTACTATATATGTGTTTTAGAAATCAGGCTGTGTAAATAAGATAAATGATTCTTGTTCTAAATGACATTTTAGTGACATTGGTTATTAATAAATCACCTAACATTTCTCAGAATGTCCCACTCACACCCCTAAAATTAACCCTCTTTGTCAATTGAAATATTGAGAGTTATGCTAAAGAACACAATACAAGCTAAGCTGTGGTGAAAGAAGATCTTAATGTACTTTCCCACGTGGATAAAGATTTGTCAGATTAAAACCACAAAACACACACAAGAAAGAGCAAGAAAGTCTATCTTGATACAAAAGGTAGAGTGTGGGAAAGACTTTGTCTTTATTTTTTTTCACTAAACAGAACATGGTGATAAATTGGAACCCAAAATAGTAGTTTTGCAATTTTCCATCTTGGTTTTTTAAGCACCTGTATGGTGTATACATTTTAGGTAACCATACTCCATCCTGTCCCTTATGAGCCAATGAGAACTGCATTCAAAATGCCATTTGTAGCATCCACAAAAAGTAGGATTTTCCACCAGAAGGGCTGCCATCGGGGGGAGAGAGGATATAGCTTATCTTGTGTATGAGACCTATATTCCAAATGTACAGTATATGTATGTGTGTATGATATACATATTGCTTGATGGGGAGCTTGGGAGACTGTCTTCACCTCTGCCAAATCTTTTATCCCACGTGATTCTTGGCCTATCCAAATACAGCCCCTATTGCACCCGACAAATATACACACACACACAAATATTCAAATGCATGTTATATAGCCAAGAAAAAAAAAGATTTATTTTTTTGAAAGTTATTTTATGCCAATGTAGATTTATGTTGCATGATGCACTACTGGCTCTATGACATCGCAGTGGTAGGTTGGACAGGGCAGCACTGATCACAGCTCTAAGTGCCTGTGAGGTGGTGTTGGGCTAGATATGCGGACTTGGGAGGAAGGCTCTGGGGGCACAGGCCTTCAGCTGTGTAAGGGGCCCCAACGTTTCTGATGGCAGCCCGGCTCACTAAAGTGCAATCTGCAGGGGATTCAAAAGGAGTTTCACATTTTAGGCCACTATAATTAGATCAGGAAAAAAAAGAATCCCTGCATATCTTTTCCAAATTGAGATACCTTCAGCCAGCACCACGGGTTGAGACTCACTATATATTGCTTCCATTGAACATGGTTCCAGCAAGACAATGTCGCTATTAATTGCCAAGCTGGTTGAGAAATCAACAATAACCTGACACCTAATGGTAAAATACAGTATTTTCACTAAACTGGCAATTGTGAGAAACTGACCAAGTAATTGCAAATGTAGTACAAAAGATCAAACTTGGAATAGTATCCAAAAAGGAGAATGTTTTCAATTTGGTTATATTGGTCCTAGCCAATTCCCAATACATCCCAGGTTAGTGTTCCGTCAACATTTTATCATCCATGGAATAAGAGTGGACAGTGCTTGGGTTGAGTATTAATTCAAGTTATGTTATAAAAATAAATGGAATGCAAGTTTCAAACTGAAAATATACCATTGTGACCATGTATGGCTGTCTTTAGCACATGTGCATGAGTATATATCAATAGTATGACTGTAATTTTCTATAATTACTTTTTTCCCACAGCCTACTCTTTTTATTTATTTTTAATATGTTGTCTCAGTGTATTTTATTTAAGTATTTCACGTATTTAAGATATGTGAACATTATCTAGTAACAATGCATTCTGTTCCAGGTCCCAGAAAGTCTCCAACCCGGTGGTAATGCAGTTTGGACACGCAGAGACCCTTTTGCCCCTTCTAGCTCTGATGGGTCTGTTTAAGGATGAGAAGCCTCTTACAGCTGAGAACTTCAGTTTACAAAGTGAAAGGAAATTTCGCAGCGGACGTATTGTCCCCTACGCTTCCAACCTGGTGTTTGTGCTATATCACTGCGATTTGGCCGAGACCCCCGAGGATGAGTACCAAGTGCAAATGCTGCTGAATGAAAACCTCCTGCCATTTCCTCACTCACACCAGTCTGTCTGCGTATATGATGACCTCAAGAAGCAATACAGTCACCTCCTCGAAAACTGCCACGTTACGGAAGAGTGTAAATTGCTGAAAGTTGGCCATGTTTCAGAGGATGAGTTATGATGCAGTTACACATAGATGTAGTTAACTGCTTATGGTAAAAGAAAATATGGTAGCTTTCTGAATGTTTTTTTGTTGTTGTTTGGTGTTTATTTCTTTTTGGAGAGCGGTGGTAATCTTTTTCACAGTGCATCATATATAATATTATTAAACCTTAAAGGTATTTCCTAGGGTTATCCCCTACTTTTCCAGTCTAGGTGACCTTTTTTTGTGGGTTAGGTACGGGATGAGGGTGTTACACTAAACCCCTATCCTTGACCGCTCCCCTTCTTTTCTTAAAGGGTTGTTAGTCAAAAAAATTATAAAGAAATTTTTTATTTTTTTTATATTTTATTTTTTTCTGAATAGCTGCTTTTTCCATTAGTGATGGTAGAAGCACTCAAGCGATTTAAAACTACGTTTCAAGAGTGTTTTCTTTAATTGTCTTGCACTTTGGTGAAGAGAACCCTTTGAAATGATACCACTCTTTTTAGACGTACACTACACATACATATTTCCTATATTCTAAACACAGCTTCACACATAAGTTAAAGTAGCAAGGTTGAATTACATACTGACAGGTTTAATCGCTAAAGTGTAAATGGTCAAGAATTCAAAGAAAATGTTAAAATCTTAGGCTTAAAGAGCTGAATTGAAAACAAAACTGAATTGAATAATTATCCAACATTTTTCAGCTAAAATTTGAAATTGACTTTGAATTACCGACCTTGCACTTTTAGTGTCGTTCACTAAACTTTGAATTGTATTGGAGTGAAATCTTAATTGCTAAATGTTAGGTTTTAAAAAAAAATAAAAAAAAATCGCAGTAATAGTGATAAAATAGCAATCTTTTTTTTTTTTTTTTAAACCGCTAAGGTTTTTAAACCAAAGCGTGTTTTATTTCATTGACCTGAACCTTCTGAAATAGCGTTAGTCAGAAATCGTATTTCCATAATTGTATATTACTTTAAACATTGTGGAAACTCCCTATTCAATTTTTTGTTTTTTCTTCGATTAAATTGGGTTTTTAGCCATCTTGGAATTACTTTGGGTACAAAGGGCATTCAGCATTACCAACCATTCCAAAAAAAATCACTACAAATCCCATTCCTAAGATTGGCTGGCTGTTTATGTTATGAAAATAAAAATGTCACTTACTGTGTTACTTTAAGATGTGATTCAGCAAGCTTAAAATAAGGTACATAATAATCTAAAAATTAGATGAAACGTTATGAAGATACTTCAGTTTTGCTTAGCAGATTGCATTATCTCCTATTATTTTATTTACATTGCTTAATATTTTCTGTATGCTTAAATTTATATATGTGGAAATCAAAATACCAAAGTGTGGAAACCAAAGTGACGCGTCATTTTTAATTGCCAAATTTATAAACAGGTATGTTTAAACTAAGGAGATATATTTGCTGAACAGTGAGTTGGTTGTATATGTTATACCTAGATGACATTTGGGAAACAAATATAAACCAAAAGGTATAGGGTACGTTGGTTAGAGAATATTTTTTTTTCAAAAACAGTCAAACAAAAAATATGGACATAAAGTTGAACCTGTTTCAGAATATTGCTACTGCTGATGATTCAGCATTTCCAGTTGGGAGGTTTTACTTAAACAACTGGTCCCCACTCTTTTTTATTTATTTATGTTTATGTAATTTTTTTTAAAAACATTTTTATCACCAAGCCACACTGTAGTGAAAGAAAAGAAAATTCTGAGTAAGACCACGCTAAAGTACTTCTTATTTAAAACGCCTCTTAAAAATTGGCCAAGAATCAGAATTGCAATGAAATTGATCAAATGTAGGCTCTATTTTATATGTTTATCTCCATAACTATTAAGGCACTATCTTTACTCAATGTTGTACTTGTAAAACATTTGCTGCACAGAGATGGATACTACATGCTGCCTCCCGTTACTATCCAGTAGATGTGCAAGGTTATTGGCTAAAGTGAGCAAAGTTAATGAACTGGAAGAATAGAATAAAGAAAGTTATCAGTTTTGTTACTTTGACCTTAAATTTGAAATGCACTAATTCCCTGAGAGTGTGGTGTGGGGTCCCTGCACTCCATAACAAGCTCTTTATGTTTCAGGTATCTCACCAGCTTGCTTGGATATGTATTGATCCTTCATATGTTCTACTAGAATCTTCACAATGAAAATAACTAATACAAAATTAAAAGGTACTACTTTTTTTGTGCTATTATCAGTTACTAAATTTATTTCTGTATCTCTACACAGGTCTATGCTACATCTTAATTTCAGGTGCCAATCAAACTGAAAAAGAAACCAAATTATAACCAATTTTGAAAGAATAATAAAGTTTAATATGTATTCCAATTAATTAATTTTATTTCATTTTATACGTTGTCATCTCAGATCAGCCTAGATCAACTCACTGTTTAATGAATAAACTTCATAGATTAATCTTTTTCAGTGTGCCATATCATTTATTTATATAGCACACTGATATAAAATTAAGTCTCTAAATTAAACACCATTTATTATGCTATAGGATCAGTTTACAGAACTAATACACTTATCAGCAAATTCTGGATTGATGTTTTAAGTCCTGTTTTGGGGAAAAAATATAGGCTGTGAATTTTTTATGGCTTTTACTATTTTATGTTTTGAATATTGATATATAAATAGAAAGTATATTGAGTGTAAAATAAACATTGAGAACAAAACTGATGTGAAATCTAAGATACAGTGTTCAGAATATAGTGGCATATGTACAAAATACAATGTACATATATTACACAATAGAACATATTTCAGGATTAACTCACATCACAGAGCATCACTCTTGTCACAATACACAACATTTTCTAGTGGTTTATCCAGCTTCTTAATTAAGGCCTGTCTTCAGATATATAAAATTAGAAAATAATCCAGGCTCTCCAGTGCGTTATGTAGATTAGTGGTGGTTAACCTGGGCATTCCAGTTGTTTTAAAACTATATTCCTCATGGTGCTAGATTGTTGAGGAGCGAAAGCACACAGAACCGATCGATGCTCTGTACTTTGTGAGTTCATCCTAGAATGTTGCTCAGTGAATGTACAAAAAATGCAATCTATTTATTTAAAGTGCATAGTTATGATCCTGTAACCTGAGTACTACATCTTGGATTGTAAGGTATATTTCAGTTTTTTTTCCCCTTGCATTATTCAAAGAGTAATGCAATAAACAGCGATTTTTGTCACTGTCATCACATTGATCGTGCGGATTCACTGTTTTCTGTTCTGTTTTGTAACTATCCACCAAACTGTGTTTTATAACTTATTGTGATTACTCCCATCAATTTAGTGTTGCACTTAATGTGTTTTTTCCCATTCTAATGTCTATTGAAAGATCTACAATTTAATACAATTTGTATTACTCAATGTTTTCTTTGTAAAGAAGGAACCGCTTCAAAGATCCTTCACCATGGTGTTGGAAATTACAGAATCCTCAACAGTATTCATTACTTTAATGTCATTTCTGAGTTGATCATTTTGAATTTATTCTATTTATTATTACTTTTATTTTTGCTATTTATTATTTTAAATGTGTTGTGGAAGTTCCTTTTTAGAAGAGTTCACACCTTCTTTTCTATTGTAGATGAAGCAACTGTTGGCTACACGTTAAGATATTAAATATTTAAAGGAGTACACAGCATTTTTATAAGATGCCCCTAAATAGACTTGGGTATACTTGTAAAGACTATCTTAGCCCTTTAGGTTTTACAGAGTGCATTGCTGGAGAGTAAGGAACCAAATGTCTACTTGCGTGCTAACTGCAAACCACTGATTTTAAAGACACTGCAAGACAACAAGGGGAGTGAGTAACACAGACAATTACTGGTCTTTAGAACTCAATGAGGCCAATGGAAGTGTCTATAGAATAAAAACAGTAAGAGTTTCAAAACAGTAATTCTTATCCTGTAGCTCAGAATCTAAATCTAGGTTGCTGTCATGCGATCTTATTTAGTCCCCATTTGGTTGTAACAGGCTTATCTTTGCTGCAATGCCCAAGAAAACTGCCCATAATATTAAGAGCAGTGGCTCCCAGCCTAGTCTTCAAGGTAAATCCTTGGTCCATGTTTTTCCAGTATCCCTATAGCAATGGAATCCTGGCACTTGGTATGCCTAAAAGACTCATTTGGCAACCACTGCAGTAGAGAGGTGTCTGAAGTTTTGTTGTACAAAAAAATATTTTTATATAACTTTGTTAAAGGATTGGTATCTGAGCTAAATCCTCAGCTAAAGAAGGGTCATTAAGAAACTTACCATTTATGAAGATCCCTGTGTTAAAATAAATCAGCCATATATGGTCAATGTTGGTGTTTTTTCCATTCTCTTTCCTTTCTTTTAAAGAAAGTACATATATATTTTAGATACTTGCCTTCAGCGAAATTGGAATTTTAATAATTTGAGCTAGATTAGTATCAGGTCTAATGTTCTCTTTCCTACCCATAATTTAGGACATTGAAATCTGAAAAAAGGAGGGAGAGTTCCTTAACCGTGTGCCTCCTGGTCACTATGAAGGTGGCAAAAAATTGACACCAAGACTCCCTTTGTTATATTTAAAAACCTTAATGGATCATTTTCCATCACTGTATTAAGTTCAATAGGTCCAGCTCATGAATAAACATTACAATTTTAGAGTTTGTACTATATCAAATTAAATAGACCCAGCTTATGACTACATATTACATTCCACGTGTTTTGCATAGAAACTGGCTGAAATGTTTATTTTTTTATGGATTGCCTGAAGAGAAATACAGCTATGGTATTTCAATTAACAAGGCCGAAAGTACTCAGGACAGCCTATCGTATTTGTAATCATTATGGCAAGGAGAGGGAACCCCTACAGAAGACATATATTTATATACATTAGTAGTAATGATTTGGGCTCACAATTTCAGTCCTAAGCTACTAGACAGGCCTAAACAGTATTGTCATTGCAAGTCTGTACAGTCCATGGCACATCGACCAAGAGTGAATTCTTCATTCACCAATGGCTAGCAAGCAATGGGAAATTTTGAGCCCAAATAACAAAATAAGTAGATTTTTTTTTTTTTTTAATTCATTCTTTTGAATTCTCGGGTTCTGGTTTTCTTTTCATGATTTACCTTATTGATAAAATTTAAAAATTGCTATTGTATTACTAAGTATTATCTATTTATTCAAGGCTTTCATATGTGTTTTGTGGTTAATATGCACAAATTTATTATGAAATTACACAGATTACTGCACAGCACTCAAATAGAGGTTTTCAAAATGTTGATTATACACGGGTATTGTTACTGGTGCTTTATAAAAGTTTTTGACACTTAGTGTGATTTGGTTTTTGTTGTGAAATTGTATCCTTTGGGTGTTGGCTTTAATAAAACACTTTCATGTGATTCTCATTTGTCATTAATCACTGCTTCATTAAAGAAAGACGCTTCTAAAAATAATGCAACAAGTGGAATTCAAACGTATTTGATGATTTTAGTAACACATTTTGCATATAATAGAATTATGGGACTTTATTCCGTTAGGGGAGCGATTTCAGAGCAAACAAAATGTCTGATATGTCTGTTAACGTGTAATGTTCCTTTCAAACAAACTTTGATATTAAAACATAACTGCAACATACACAAATTGTAATCATTCTGACACTCAAGATTTTTAAAGTCCCCCTGTCCAATTTACTTATTTTTCACACAGGGTTATATACTTGAGTGAGAATTCAGAGAGAATTTCAGATTTATGGCCAGAATAGCGGAATTGAAAGTATAGGTGATTTAGAGAATTTTTTTTACAGATTGGCTATTCTGACCTTACATTTGAAATGTATTTGGAATTCTTTAGTATAAACCCATGCCCTGAAAAGTGCACTCTAAGCACCATCACAGCTTTGTTATTGCAAAAAAGGTTGATTCATAATGCACATTGATCGAACTCTCAATTATACAGATTAGAATTGCTGGACTTTTTTACAGACAGCCAGAATGCTTAGTTTCAGCTCCCCACTGCCATATTTGTCTGACAAATCTTGCACAACTGCGGCCCACATCTCTGCAAAAACCAGAACATTGCTTAGTTCACTATTCACGACACACTATTCACTATACAAAAGTAAGCCCTGCGTTCAGCCCCAATCCATACAATAAAAACCAAAGAAAAAAGTTACTTGCGCACTTTCCTAAATATCTATGCACAATTAAATAACTGGAGATTTTTTAATAATATCCTTCCAATGGGATCTGGGGTAGTACACAAGTAACTTTTTTTTTCTTTTTTTCATCTCACTAAACAGTTGAACTGGTCTATAGGAATAAAATCATGATGAACATAAGGTTATGGTATGATTTTGTTCCTGGTTCCTGGTAAGCAAGGGGTCTGGTCAACACTAATTAACAGAAAAATAATAAACAAGGCAGCAACCCAAAAGGAAAAGGATTCCTCTCAAACCCTTTAGAGATGTGAGAAAACAAAGAATTACAGAAATTTTGGCTGCGCCAAACTGTGTATAAACAATCTGAGAAAGAACATATAATAAAACATATATAGATATATCCCAAAAAATAAAGAATTTGCAAACTTCCAAAAGACCCCCTGCTCCATCCAGAAGTTTACTGCTTGAACTTACCTGTTACAAATAGGGTACTATTTTTAAGTAATTACTGTACATCAATTTTGAAAATACAAAAGTATGCTAGATAAATTTCTAAAAAAACACAATATAGTGTAGTATTTTAGATGAAGCCAATGTGAGTGTAAATATAATCAATATGCACTTACATGGGGTAGAGCCAAATAAGGACAGGCTCAGATCTCATGAGCAGATGTTTTCTAAGGAGACACAGGCCCTCTTCAGTCTTTGTCCATAGTGGCTCAATAGGAGATATAGAGCAAATAACAAAAGCAGCTCATGGTGAAGTACAGTTTAAAAGTGTGAATAATAGTAAGTGAATGAAAATTTTGCTCACCTGATCCAGAGCCAATTAATTACATTTATTAAACAAAAGTGTAACATATATCACATATAAAGTAAAAGATAAAGAAGTTTAAAGAAGCATTTCGCCACGTTCAGTGTCTTTCTCAATTGGTGCCTGCTTCCTTCACGTGTCCATCTTTTAAATCCCAAACCACTTCCTTCCTGAGTGCATACAGCAGGCTGATTGAGAAAGGAAAAAACCTTGAGTATACTAAACAAAAAAAGAATCAGAATTTTTAAACATTCCCCATCCTAAGATTCTGGTTTTCTATTACCTCCCAAAGATAGACAAAGAAAACCCCCCTGGGAGACCTATAGTCTCAGGGATTAACTCCACCTTGAGCCGATTGTCACAATATATTGATCGGAACCTCCAACAAATTGTCCACAATTGTCCAGGCTACCTGAGGGATAATATTGACATCCTCCAGGTTCTGAATCGTGTACAGTGGGAACAGGATTACTTTTTAGTGACTGCAGATGTGAGCTCACTGTACACTATTGAACATGAATGAGGCTGTCAAGCCACCAGACACTTTTTGGAAAATTCCAAGAAGGTCCTTCAGACTCACATTGAGTTTATTCTGGAGGGGATCAAATTAATTTCAGATATGTGGAACGGCGATGGGGACCAGGTTTGCACTCAGTTACGCAAACTTATTTATGTACTTGTGGGAACATGAATTCATTTTGAAGGAACATAGGTGGGATGCGAAGCTGGTCACCTATCGCCGTTACATAAACAACATATGTTTTATTTGGAAGGAAGATGAGAACTCCCTAGTTTCCTTTTTAGCATATCTAAATCTTAATGATTGGGGAATTTTTCTTACTAGCGATTTTAGCTATACTCAGATGACCTTTTTAGATCTTAATATTTATGTAGAGGAAGGTCTACTTAAAACAAGTACGTTCTTTAAGAAAGTAGATGTGAATAGTTATATTCAAGAGAGCAGCTGCCACTATTCACCATGGCTCACAAAAGCCCTCAAAGCACAGCTTGTACGTATTAAAAGAAATTGCACAGATGAAACGAAATTTCAAGAACAATCCTAAAAATGTTTTAAAAACTTTAAAGATAAAGGGTATAAGGACAGCTTATTACAACAAGCACACCAGAGAGACACTATTACAATATAAAGTAAATACAGGCACTGTTTTTTAACAAATATTGGCCCATTTTAAGAAATGACAAAATTTTACGTCAAATACTGTAGATAAGCGTCGTATTATATATAGAGGGGTATTCAATTTTAAAACTAATCTAGTACACAGTCACTTTAAAACCAAAGAAACCACCCAGTTTTTTAAAGAATCCAAAGTATTCTATGGATGCGGACAATGTTGCGCATGCAAGAACACTGGGAATCATAAACGTCTGGTTAAAAATTTACACAAAAAGACAACATCTTTCACATTAAACAGGTTATTACACATCACTCAACAACAGTGATATATTTGACTAAATGTCTTTGTGGCCTGTTTCATGTAGGACGCACGACTCATAAATTGAATGTCTGAATTCAAGAACATTTAAGAAATATAAAGAATGGCTGTGAAAAACAAAATCTATCACTACATTATAAAATTAAACAGAATTCACAGAGGTACAGAATTCATTGAAATTCAAAAAGTAGTGCTAGATTGGAGAGGCAAAGATATGATTAGAAAAATGTGGCGGACTGAAATGAAATGGATTTTCAATCTGAATGCATTGGTGCCCAATGCACTTAATAATGACTTTGAGTTCTGCCATTTTTTATAAAATGATTTTATTTCTATTTTTTTTAAATGATTTCATTTCAATTTATATGAATACATCTTAATATGTTCCTTGACAATTTAAATTGCAATTATATGCTTTGTAAATAGAGGTTGAGTCTTATATTTATATATATTTTTATATTTATATATATTTTTATTGTGTTATGTAAGTGTAATATTTATATTCTAGTTTTTAAATCAATTAAACATTTGTCATTTCTTAACCAACTGGAGATCTGATACTGCACAACCAGGAAACTGTAACCAGGAAGTGACGCAATTTTAGGACCGACACGTCACTTCCGGTTTTCGGGTTTACATGATTCTTTCCCTTAACATGCCTTTAACCAAAATGGCAGAATAAAAACTAAAATGGAGGCAACACAAACAACTACCGCACCACTTCCTTAGACATCATTTATATACGAAAATCAGCTATGATATACACAACTTCCAAATAGAACATCCGTGATTGGATGAATTTCTGAGCAAGTGACCTATAAGGAAGTGGTTGAGGATTTAAAAGATGGATGCGTGAAGGAAGCAGGCACCGATTGAGAAAGCCACTGAATGTGGTGAAAAGTGTCTCAGCAGGACTGAAGTACTTTAAACTTTATCTTTTATTTTATATTTGATATATGTTACACTTTTGTTTTATAAATGTAATAGTTTTTTAACTTCCAATTTGTGCTACTCCATTTCTACTGCTTCCTGGACCAAATAAGGAAAGTGTTCCCCTTAAAGCAGAACTGTACTTTACCATCAGCTGTATTTGTTATTTGCTCTAAATCTCCCATTGAGCCACTATGGACAAAGACTGAAGAGGACCTGTGTCTCATCAGGACACATCTGCTCATGAGATCTGAGCCTCTCCTTATTTGGCTCTACCCCTTGTGAGTGCATATTGATTATATTTACACTCACATTGGCTTCATCTAAAATACTACACTATATTGTCAGGGACAGTGTTTTATTTATCTAGCATACTGTTGTATATTCATAATTACATAATTAACGTTTTTTAGCGCTCCACTATCATTACTGATAGTAACTGGTTTCCACTAGACATGTGCAATTCGTTTAGTTCAGAATGTAAATTCGGGCAATTCAGAAATCCGGATGCTTCCGAATTTCCAAAGTGCTTCAGATTTCTGAAAAAACAAAAGAGGGAGGGAAAATTACATGAATGATGAGTTAGGTTTAGTGGAAGGACTAGGGTTAAGGGTAGGGCAGTGGCGGATCCAGAGCCTGATCTCGGGAGGGGCACTTGTAGATTATTTAACCCCTTAAGGACACATGACGGAAATATTCCGTCAAGATTCCCTTTTATTCCAGAAGTTGTGTCCTTAAGGGGTTAAATAAATAATCCAGGCACAATAACTACTACAGCTCAGTGTAGTAGTTATGGTGTCAGTAGTGCCAGGATTCCACCCCAGAGTAAGTAGTCATACTGTTTAAGAACAGTTTGACAACTTACCTGGGGTCTACTGGGATATAGGGTATAGGAGCAGTGGTGTGTGTTAAGGGTGAAGTGTGTGAGTGCGGCAGTGTATGTCAGGGACAGTGTTTGTGGGGCAGTGTGTGTATGGGGACAGTGTTTGTGGGGCAGTGTATGTCAGGGCAGTGTTTGTGGGGCAGTGTGTGTATGGGGACAGTGTTTGTGGGGCAGTGTGTGTATTGGGACAGTGTTTGTGGGGCAGTGTGTGTATGGGGGGCAGTGTGTGTATGGGGATAGTGTTTGTGGGGCAGTGAGTGTATGGGGACAGTGTGTGTATGGGGACAGTGTGTGTATGGGGGACAGTGTTTGTGGGGCAGTGTGTGTATGGGGGGGCAGTGTGTGTATGGGGACAGTGTTTGT